TCTCATATTTTAGATTTGTAATTCATATAGTCCTATATTTTTTCTTATGATCCATTCAGTCATTTTAGATGTATAATGACTCATTTGTCTGCCACATTAGCGTATCACATTTAGAACAAGTAAACTAATTTTTTTTTTAGTATACATTGGAGTGTGACATCTGGGAAAAATACATATTTTTTACTTTTCAAATGTATACAATCTCTAGATACACTAAAAAAAATAGTTATACAAAAAATTTTAAAATAAATAAATTTAAGAGAAATTAACTAATAAGTCTCATATTTTAGATTTGTAATTCATATAGTCCTATATTTTTTCTTATGATCCATTCAGTCATTTTAGATGTGTAGTGACTTATTTGTCTGCCACATTAGAGTATCACATTTAGAACAAGTAAACTAAATTTTTTTTTAGTATACATTGGAGTGTGACATCTGGGAAAAATACACTAAATAATTTTTTATTTTTTTAGAGTATCACATCAGACCTGCCACGTTGTCACATTTGAAAAAAGTAAACTAAATAGTTTTTTTTTTTTTTAAATTGTCACATCATATCCCGGTACGCTATCATGTTTGGAAAAAGTACACTAAGAATTTTTATTTTATTTTTTTTGAAATTTCACATCACTAAGGAGTTTTTATTTTTTTGAAAGTATCACATCACATCTGACACATTGTCACATCTGAAAAAAAAGTATATTAAGAAATTTTTAATTTTTTTGAAGTAAAAGTTTTAGAGTGTCACATCACACCCGTTACGTTGTCACATTTAAAAAAAAATACACTAAGGAAGTTTTAGTTTTTTTGAGTGTCATATTAATACTTATCACATTGAAGTATCACATTATACTTGCCACTGTTGATAAAAAGGTATAGTTGTCCACCAAAATAAAAAATATGACCACACAAAAAAAATCTTTCCATTAATAAGACTTTAATAGATCAATAGAAAAAAATTGGGACCGATTAGTACTTGTTTGTGAGATGAGATTTATTAGTAAATATTTCTAAATTTAAAGACAAAAAAATAAGAAAATGTGTTTTTTACTGATTTTTTTAAAGATCTCATCACAAATATTTTATTTTTGTAAATTTATCTAAAAAGTTAAAAAGAAAAATAGATTAAAATATAATAAATATTCACTAAAAACAACATGCTTGGGAATTAATTTTTTTAGTACTTTAGATTTTTACAAATAATTTGATAATTTATTGTGACTTTTAATTTTTTTATTAATATTTAAAGTTCCCAGAGGGGACCTTAGCAGAATTATATTGCTAGTTCAATTCCAAATTCTGCCTTCTGCACCTAACTTCTTTTGGCATATGTTTATAAGTTTATTTTAAAATCATCTAATTTAAATTGATCTATAAAGTAAAATATCTTATTTAAAGTTCTAAAAAATTCATTAATTAAAGACAAAGTAAACAAATAAATAAATAAACCAGCCAAAAATTCAAATGCATAGCTAAAATTTTTAAACTAGTCATTTATGGTCAAATTGAAAATAAAAATAAAAAATGACCTAGGTATAAATAAAATCAGTGATGTGTCTATTCTTTAATGGCCCCCCTATTTTTGTCTTTTGACTGGAAAATTTACTTGTTGCAACTTTGGTTTAGCATCAACCCAAACTAAACCAACTCCTCGTTTGATAAATATTTTGAAGTTAAAAAAAAATATAAAAAGATAAAATAAAATATATAAGTCAGTAAAATAAAATTTTACATTCAAATTATAATTATTATACTTTTTCTCTTACAAAAATAAAAAAAAAAGCTCAAAAACAAAAATCAAACAAAGTTAAAAAAAAAAAAAAGTTAAAAAAGTCAAAAACACAAAAAAAAGTTAACTACCATAATCAATGCCAAACGAACCTCAAGTGTTGATGATCGGTTCTTATTTTGTTAACAGACAAATAAATAAATAAATATATATATAGGAGTATATTAAGACCAAACTAATCCAATCCATGTGAATTTGGTTTGGTTTGGATCAGAGCATCTCTAATGGAGCTATCAAAGGACCTGTCAAAGTTATAATTTGGCAAGAGTGGAAAATAAAGATTCTCCAATGGCCTACTATTCTCCTGCCAAATATAGCAGATATTATTTCTGCTGTCAAATTTAACAAGAAGTTTGACATTTGCCAAACGTGCCATATCTCCAAGGTCCTGTTTGTTTTCAAAGGTAAAATGGAGGGGATTGATAGGGAGGAGATTGATAGTGGGGGATTAAGTAAAATTGTGTTTGTTTTGATGATAGTTGTTAGTGTGGAGATTGTTACATTATTTTTATATAAAATAAATATAAAATAATAAAACAAATAAAAAAAATATAAAACATTAAACATTAATGTTTTAAAAAAAATGCCCAACATGTAAAAAAAATTTAAAAAATAAAAATAAAATAAAAAAATTTCAAAAAAAATAAAATAAATAAAATAATAATTTTTACTTAACAAAAAAATACAAAAAATTAAACATTAATATTTTAAAAAAAATGCCCAACATGTAAAAAATAAAATAAAAAATAAATAAAAATAAAAAATTTCTAATCCACCGAACTATTTTTCTAATATCAAATCCTACAGGCCTATCCTAATCCCCTCCCCAAGGGAATTCGTAGTCCGAAGGAAATTACGAATCCCCTCTCCATCTCTCAAAACAAACATGATATTAGTGACTATGAATCCCAATTCCCTCTCCCATAACCCAAAACAAACTGGCCCAAAGGTCAATTCATCCTCTCCTAAAAAAAAAATCCCAAAATATTTGCAGTTTTTTTTAGTTTAAAACGAAATTCACTATTTTTTTTTTTTTTTTTTTGTGCCAAACAGAATTTGTTTATTTATTATAGCATTTGTTCCTTCAATATTTTTTCTCTCAAAACAAATTTCATCAATTTCTGCATTTTCCAGACACAAATTTCAGAATGATCAGTCAAATATTTGTTTCACAAATTTCACAAATTTTAGAATGATCAGTCAACTCAAATTTCACAAATTTATATAAATTTATGAAGCAATCTAGTTCAAACTTAGATAAATACCTGAATTTCAGCATAATTGATGAATCTGTTTTTCATCTCAATCTCCATCGACCTCTAGGGCTTGTTGGGGTTACTTACATGACAAATTAAGGGTCCCACTTTTATTTAATAGTTTTTCATCTTCTATTTTCATATTTGAATGAAATGAAAGCCCGACCCAATTCCTAGGTTTTGCACTGAGTTTCAAGATTTGAAAGCGTCATAAAAGATTTCTGGATTTGTTGTATTTTTTTCATTTGATTTGGTCTGAAACAAACACAGATCAGAGAGGGGGAAAATGAGATTGGTGGGTCTCCAACAAAATGGTAATAGGGAAATGTGTTTGTCTCATTTTCCTTTGGGTGCTAAGAACAAATAGAGGAGGATGGACTCTGAGCTTACACAGAGAGAGAGAGAGAGAGAGAGAGAGAAGCAGCAGAGATTGATTGTTAGAATCGATGCTGGCTTGATAAACCAATAACAGGACGACACTTCCCTGAAGTGAGATGAGATCTAAAGAAAGAGAAAGAGGGTGAAGATTGTGTTGTTTGCCGGAGATTCAACCGTGTAAAGCCAAGATGATGTTGATGTTGATCAGTCGAATGGGTTTGATGAAGATGGACAGAGAGAGAGAGAGATGCTCAACCGACTGGTTTGATAAAAATGAAGATGAGAAGAGAGAGAGTGGATAAAGCGAGAGGAAAATTCCAGAGACTAAATCTCAACCGTTGGATGATGACAACATCCAACGATTTGTCTAGTCTGGTAGAATATAAATATTTACTTTTTTTTTTATAAAAAGTTTTAAAAACACTCATAAAAGACAAAAAATAAACTATAAAAAAAATTCACTAAAATATTCATATCCAAACAACACATACAAAATTAGAAGGAAAGTTTATTGAAATTTGTCAAAATGATATGCTATCATTGGCGTATCATTATTATAATTTGACAACTTAGCCTCCGTTTGGGAAGTGGGTTGGCTTTTTGACTTTTTTGACTATTTTAGCCTGGGCTTAAAAGTTTGGTTTGGGAAGGGCTTTTTGACTTTTTTGAGTTTTTTTGTGAGAGAAGAATGTAATGATTATGGGTTGGATGTGATGTTTTGTTTGTTATGGCTAAAATAGCCTATTTTGTTTTTTGTGGCTAAAATAGCCAAAAAAGCCTCCAACCCACCTTCCCAAACGGTGCCTTAATATGGGTCATTACCAAATTATAGCTTTGGCAATTGGTATTATAACATTTGCCACTGGAGTTTGGTTCTATAAAGGATTAGTAAAAAGATGTGCTTCTTCCCTGGTTTGGAAAATGTAGTTGGTAAATAGTTTTATTTCACACTTCTGTATAAAGGTTGGTTCCCGTGAATTGAATAACCAGTTACAGCTTACAAGAACATTAAGCTTGTCATGGCACTAGATCACGAATTGCGTTAGCACAAGAAATAAAAGAAAAGAAAATTGGCAACCCCATCTAACCTGGGTTGTGCTGTAGGGCTATGACAAGGTGCCGGTGGAAACTGACAACCCCATCTACAGTGGATCCTAACTTCTACAATTTATATATTCGAACCAGGAAGATGTTGGATTTAAGTTTAGCTCAAGTGATTGTATCCTTTGATTTTGAAGTAAGGTTTGGATTTCGAACTAGTGAAAAAATATTGAACGGCCATTAATAGTAATCTAACTTGTTAACTTGCTAATATCTTGTGCATATGGATCGAGTGGTTACACAAGATACTGTTTGTGGCAAGGTTTTAAAGAAATTTTCCACCGGACTAATTCACTTAATGCATGGCTAACTTGTGGTCTTTTAGGCCTTGAACATTGCCAAGGAACTAACAATACTTATAGACGTACTCAAATTTGAAATGTGTAACCTAGGATCATTTTGGAGATGGTTTGTAACAGGACAGCTATGTCCCGACCAAAACAGCCACCACCACCACCATCTTAGAGAGAGTTGTATGTAAATTACAAGTAAGAAGAATATTTAGTGAAAGCCTTCAATTAAGTCTATTTAATAAAAGAGGTCAGATACACTTCATTGTTGCAAACACAGAATTTAGCTACCTCAAAATATATCTTCCTGCAAAACTAAAAGCTGACATGACATCCATCCGCTGCAGACAATAAAGAAACCCTCAGTTGCCTTCATATTTTGGATCAGCCATGACGTAGTGATATGCGATCACCAGTGCAAAAATAAAGATGCCAAGAAAATTGGCAAAGAAACCGAGGTCCTGATCATCAATCATCTAAAGCAACCACCAAAAAAAGAATAAAAACTATGTTAGAGCTTAGAACCATGTTTAGAGCATTACAACAAGACCATTGGTATTATATAGATCGTGGAAATAATTTCTGACAAAGCAGTTGTTCAGTTGAGTTGGGGTGATTTAACATGAGGTATATTATTTTAGAATATATCAATGCTAACCAGATTAATGGTCCCAATGCGAAGACCATAATATTATAGGATGATTTTATATTCATCATAGGAGAGAGAATGTATCAGATTGAAAACATAATTTCAGACAGTTACGAGAGACATTACTGAAACTCATGCAAACAAGATAGAGGACCATAGTGTTTTTCTTCTTGAGTATCATGAACATATTTTGCCATATTTCCTCAGAAGCCATACCAGACTACAACAAATTTGATACTATGCATCTTGTTTTTTTTGTTTTGTTTTGGGGAGGGTGGGGATGGCAATCTGAAACCGGCCCGACGGTGACTTGACCCCCCGACTCCGAATTCAGCAGTTATTCACCGAAAAATATTCCCTACGGGCCGGGGACGGGGATATGTGTTTCAGAACCGGACCCGGCCCCGGCCCCGGCCCCGGCCCCGGCCCCGGCCCCGGCCCCGGCCCCGGCCCCGGCCCCGGCCCCGGCCCCGGCCCCGGCCCCGGCCCCGGCCCCGGCCCCGGCCCCGGCCCCGGCCCCGGCCCCGGCCCCGGCCCCGGCCCCGGCCCCGGCCCCGGCCCCGGCCCCGGCCCCGGCCCCGGCCCCGGCCCCGGCCCCGGCCCCGGCCCCGGCCCCGGCCCCGGCCCCGGCCCCGGCCCCGGCCCCGGCCCCGGCCCCGGCCCCGGCCCCGGCCCCGGCCCCGGCCCCGGCCCCGGCCCCGGCCCCGGCCCCGGCCCCGGCCCCGGCCCCGGCCCCGGCCCCGGCCCCGGCCCCGGCCCCGGCCCCGGCCCCGGCCCCGGCCCCGGCCCCGGCCCCGGCCCCGGCCCCGGCCCCGGCCCCGGCCCCGGCCCCGGCCCCGGCCCCGGCCCCGGCCCCGGCCCCGGCCCCGGCCCCGGCCCCGGCCCCGGCCCCGGCCCCGGCCCCGGCCCCGGCCCCGGCCCCGGCCCCGGCCCCGGCCCCGGCCCCGGCCCCGGCCCCGGCCCCGGCCCCGGCCCCGGCCCCGGCCCCGGCCCCGGCCCCGGCCCCGGCCCCGGCCCCGGCCCCGGCCCCGGCCCCGGCCCCGGCCCCGGCCCCGGCCCCGGCCCCGGCCCCGGCCCCGGCCCCGGCCCCGGCCCCGGCCCCGGCCCCGGCCCCGGCCCCGGCCCCGGCCCCGGCCCCGGCCCCGGCCCCGGCCCCGGCCCCGGCCCCGGCCCCGGCCCCGGCCCCGGCCCCGGCCCCGGCCCCGGCCCCGGCCCCGGCCCCGGCCCCGGCCCCGGCCCCGGCCCCGGCCCCGGCCCCGGCCCCGGCCCCGGCCCCGGCCCCGGCCCCGGCCCCGGCCCCGGCCCATATATATATATATATGTGTGTGTGTGTGTGTGTGTGTGTGTGTATTTTTGTTGTTTTTTTCTTCTTTTTTAGCAAGTGGGATTATGGGTATATGTTGTTGTGATATTTTTAGTTAAAAAGAATGGACTCTCCTACTGTAGAGCCCTATTGGGTACATGAGTTTATTATGTTGTGTTTGGATCTTCAATTTAAGTAAAAATTTATGAAGGAAAATTCTTAGACTTGTGTACGAATTTTAATGGATTATCTTATAATAAAATTATACAAGTAGATTATTCATAAAAGAAAAAGAAAATTGATTTGATTTAATGATTTTATCATTTTTTTTTTATAGAAAAAATAGATGACTAATAAATCATCTATTTCTTTTGCTGCATTAGTGATAATCAATGTTCACAGACAGAACCTGTTTGCTTTCCCTTTTGTAACTGATAACAAGGATCTGGCCTTTTCATTTGAAAAATTACTTCATCAAGAATATTTAAAAATATGTATGTGAAAGAAAAATGTATTCTAAATAATGAGTTTTCTTCTGGATTATGAGTCTCTCTAACTAATATTTAGCGGAGAACCCATATTGCATCTTCTGTAATGCATGTTGAACACTATCACATCCCCTTTACTGTCTTCTCAAGGATCTAATCTAAGAACTAAACTTTCTAGTACTGTTAGTTGGATTACATTGTAGCTGACTATGAAACATTTTCTCTTGGTATGTTCTGTAGCTGACTATGTTAAAAGTGATGAATATAGTTCATGGTGCATATTTATAACTTATTGTTCATGTAACAGTTGCTTAGTGTGTTGACCACTAATCACACTGGTGTTTCTAAGAGAAAGATGATGAGTACTTAATTTATTTCAATCAGACTACTATTTCTAATTGTTTCAGTCATGTCATAATTTGTTTAAAAGATGATGAGTACTTAATTTATTTATATTAATTCAATCCATATTATTTTTATAAAGGTTAAAAATATCAGATGTTAACTCTGAAACACCAGTTAACTCTGAAACACCCGTACTCTCAAGTACCATTTGAGAGTGACGCGTCACAACATTCATTGCCAGCTACGAACGCACCTACGAACTCACCGTCTCCCCTCTCTAATCAACATGTTATTGATTTAGAAGAGTCTAATACTACTTGTTGAGGAACTAAAAGAAAACCAAGTGTTATGTGGGAACATTTTAAAAAACAACAAGTGAGGTGTGGAAGGCAATATGTAATTATTGTAATAAGCAACTTGGAGGTGATTCAAAAAATGGAACTAGGCATTTGCATGATCACCATAAGAGTTGTACTAAGAAAAAAGTGATGGACATGAGGCAAAAAGTGTTAACTAACAACTTTAGTAGAGAGATTCCAAAAATGAATTCTTATATCTTTGATCAAGATTTTGCTAAGAAGAGTTGTCACGTGCCATAATCTTCCATGAATATCCCCTCTCTATCGTAGACCATGTTGGTTTTAAACGATATTCAGCAGTACTTCAACCATTGTTTAAAGTGCCTTCTTGAAATACAATAAAGAGTGATATTTTAAAGATTTATGATTATGAGAGGGTAAAGACATTGAGTTTGGTGGAGCATAATAAAAATAGGGTGGCAATCACAACTGATATGTGGACTGCTAGCAATCAAAAGAAAGGATTCATGGCTGTCACCGCACACTTTATTGATGATTCATGAACATTGCAAAGTCGCATTTTGAGGTATATTTTTATAAATTTGCAAATCATTTAGGTTTATTTATGTTCCATGTCCACACACAAAAGAAGTTCTTTGTGAAACTTTGCTTGAGTATATGATGGATTGGAATATTGATAGAAAAATCTCGACTGTTACTGTTGATAATTGCTCCACAAATGATGCCATGATTACCATATTGATGGATAAGTTAAGTAATTCATCGCTTTTGTTAGGTGGCACTTTGTTTCATATGCGTTGCTGTGCGCATATTTTGAATTTGATAGTGAAAGATGGATTGGATGTCATACGAGTTGGTGTGAAGAAAATTCGAGAGAGAATAACTTATTGGACAACAACACCAAAAAGAATAGAAAAATTTGAAGAAACAGTCAACCAATTGCGTATTCCACATACTAAGAAATTAGGACTTAATTGTGCAACTAGGTGGAATTCAACCTACTTGATGCTTCAGACAGCCTTATTGTATAAGGATGTCCTTTCTAGGTTGAAAATTAGAGAGCCCCAATATAAGACTGTGCCAACTGAGCAAGAATGGGAGTTTGCTAGAGAGATTAGTGGGAGGTTTAAGATTTTTTTTTCTATCACTGAGTTGTTTTCTGGTACAAAGTATCCCACAGCCAATATTTGTTTCTCAGCTTTATGTGAGATTAGGATGACACTGTCTCAATGGCTCTCTTGTGAAATTGAAGTGATCAGAACAATGGCATCAAAAATGGTGAAAAATTTTGATAAATATTGGTTAGTGATACGTGGTGTTATTGGGGTTGCAGTTGTACTTGATCCTAGGTATAAGATGAGTGTATTGGAGTTTTATTTTGAAAAACTTTATGGAGACAAAGCTGAAGATGAAGTTGATAGGGTTCGTCATATTTGTTATGATTTGTTGCAAGAGTATCAGCACCGAGTTGGTATGGAGACCGATGTTGGTGGTGACTCTTCTGCTCATCCAGAAATTGTTACAGAGACCCTTTCAGAATTTGATTTGTTTATTAGTAGAAAGAGAAGTAAAAAAATGAAGAATGTAAGATCAGAGTTGGACCATTATCTAGAATATGATGTTTTGCCAAGAACTTCAGGTTTTGATGTTTTGAATTGGTGGAAAGCTAGTGGACCAAAGTATCCGACCTTACAGGCAATAGCTAGGGATATTTTAGCTATTCCTGTATCTACTGTTGCTTCTGAATCAGCATTTAGTACTAGTGGAAGGTTGGTGAGTCCACATCGTAGTAGACTTCATCCAAACACATTAGAAGCATTAATGTGTGCACAAAGTTGGTTGTGGGGTGAAGAGATGAAAGGTATTATTTCATCCAATTTACATATTATTATTTCAATTTTTATTATTTATATTACCATGATATAATTTCACTATTGAATTTATAATTTTTATTTTTTAAGAAATTCAACATTGGAATCGGTGGGCTATGCAACTATATATGATGATGATGAGATCGAGTCGGATCAGTCATGTGCCACTTCTTTTGTGTTAGTTGTCATCTTTTTTGTTTTAATTGTTAATATTTTTTACATTTTATTATTAGTATTAATTATTTATTTTTTTCCTTTTGTTATTTAACAGAAATTCAAGTTGAAGGAGATGGTGGAAGTTATGTGGTTTGTATGGGTTTGAAGAAACAATGGATTTGCTTTTTTATGTTGTAATGGATATATTTTTTTTTTTTTTAATTTCAATTTTTGGGTAACCTATCCCTTACGGGTTGTGCTTGGGATTAATTATTCTCTTTGCTACTTGTTGAATTTTCTTGTGTGTGCTGCTGGACAGATGTTTTATTTGTGTTATTTTGTTG